ACCGAGAATCTCATGGAAACCAGGAGCTTCATCAATTCCAGTGCCGTCCAGACCGAACCAGATCCAAAGCATCCATTTTGAGATGGTGATCGAGTTTGGTGAGTCTTCGTAGCCGACTGCTGGATTGCTGATACTCAGCCATTTGAGCGCTAACAAGAAGCCACCGAAACACCATACAGCGATTAGACTGAGGGCTGTGAACTCCTTCACCATTGCTCTTAGGGCGATGAACAACATGTTCTCCGGCATAAGGTTGAATGCGATGCGTGGGAATAGGATCGGCGACGCGACAGCCAGAACGTCGAGAGCTTGTCTGCCCGTCTCGTCTTGCCCCATCATCCACCCATGACATCGCATGCCAAGGTATATAAGGAAAATGCCGGCAAATGTGACATCCAAGAAGGCCCAGAGCTCCTGCGTATGCACTTCCCAGCCATGCTCAAGACAGGATGTAAGCTCATCGAGCACCCAACCGCTACCGTACAGTAAGAATGTAATTTCAGCACCAGTCAGAAAATGGTCTTTGCGCATAGTCATGCACCAGCAGTAGAGTGCGAGTAGTGTGATGAACTGTACTACTTCGATGATGTTGCGTGTTCTGGGTACCATAAGACGGTACTGGTTTAGTGTCGGCGCCTTCCGTGGATCGTAGAGGGAAATGGGCTTGTGCTTGTAATGATCTGGTATGATATCCATGTATACAGTGGGGGTATACACGATACGCCCGCGATATATAGCATCGATAACTTTTTGGCTCGCAGAACCAGCTAACAATACCTTACTCTCGGAGACGATAGCCACCTCCAGCGCTGTTAGCTTGCCCTCATAATCCCCCTGGCCCTGGTACTCTGAACTATGGCGCGGCGGACAGCGTTCATCTGGCGCACCCTGAAAAGGCTGGAAAGGAGCTACCATAATTTGCGCCAGAAGTAAGAGGCCAGCCTTGCCTGTAGACTCTTCATCGTGGCGTCGCAGCACTTTCATAGCAACCAGCTCGCAAAGATTCGCGCGCGTTAGGTCAACGGTTTGATGATGTTGCTGAAACTGTTGCTCTCGAAGGAACTGCATGCGATTGACAAGCAGACAGTACACGATGGATATATCTTCTTCGTCGTAGAGGCGATCCACTAATGGCTTTACGATGAGCACGTTCATGCGAGGCTCTCGGAGCTGGTCCACGGTGTACGGGTCTTCAATTACTGCCAGGACAAGGCGTCGTATCCTAAGATATGATTAATGTCAAACTCAGGCTCCTTACCTGCCGCAATACACATACCTGTGGATATTGAAGTAAGTCTTCTTGTTATTGTTCAGATCGGGCGCACTAGCAGTTCTCTCAAGCATTGGCTCGCCTTGACCGTTGAAGCATCCGTCGGCGCCAGCGTAGTCTTCCTCAGGGAGCAATGTCTCCTGTTCCTCTCTACTCTTTGCGGATCTCAATGCATCGCTCAGCGTTCTCTGGTTTTCCATCATATGAGGGCGCTTCAAGTACTTTCTAAACTCGATGTGCCTTGACGGCTTTCGTTGTGGTGAGGGCCTGCGCGCAGTAGGTGAGACATCCTCGCCGCCATTGCTAGAGGGTGCGACAGCACTATCATTACTGTCGTGACTTTTGGTGGGATTTGGGTTGAACGGTGGTCGAGTAAAGGTACCGTAGGCGGGACTGCCACTTCTGTTCCAGTCTGGGCTTGACGTCGGGCCTGACATGTGAGGCTGCTGCCAGCCTTAGGTAACAGTAACAGAAGGAGTCCAGTAAGCTGCACAGGGTTGAGCTTGAGCGGGTCTTTTCCAAGGCTGAACGGGACGAAAGTGGATAAGCCTGAGGTCCGTAGAAGCTTGGATAGCAAAAGCTGCTACGATTCTATCGAACTCCAATGCGCTTCACGCGTCGCAAAAAATAGGTACCAAGTCTACTCAGCGACAATGTATAAGTAGTCTTGTCACAACTGATGTCTTTTCGTGGATGCTGATAAGGTGGGAAAAAGGAAGCATGGACCGCTGCACCGATTGAAGGGTCGGCAAGTGAGGTTTCACGCTAACGCTATTCGGTGTAGATCTTCATGATCATCTGCGACGTCACTCTGTGACACTATCTCGAAGCTGCCAATTCTCACAACAACGTGCTTGGATAGAACCAGTTTGGTCCTTATACAATGATACTCATATGATTTGATAGTGTCAACACAAGGACGCACCATAATACAAGTGAAGATTGAAGGTCTGTTGCTTTGTAGTCGCACACGTGAGCCACTTGCCGAGTTAGGCCATGATTGCGGGATTAACCTCCGCAACAAACAAAGAGGAGACGTCGTATCGCAGAAACTACCGGTGAGAAAAATGAGGCTGAGAAGGAGATAGCTGAGGCAATCTTTACTCATTTAGTTGGCGAATTTGTACTCGTGGCCGACTGGATAGGTTGACATACACAAGCTGCATCTTGAAGCGGAGTCTTTGAGATACGTGCCTCAATACACTCCAATCCTCTACTGAGAAGTACATTACATGTACTACCTAGCCAACCAGGGCATGTTAACCCCCACTGCTATCTACCTGTTGTTCTCGGAGGTCTCTCAATCGGACCGAATCAATTCTGTGGCGCCTACATTGAAGCTCAGCGGTGCTTGAGACCTTTCCTTCCACCAGGCCTAGTAGCAATGTCAGCTGTGTTTTGATCATTTGACTCTCACTATCACTTACCCCGTGGACTTCATTGTGGTCGTTTCAGGCTCCTTCAACTCGATAAATTCCCGCGGGTTCAATGTTCGGGAAAGATACTTTGGAAGGTCACGGCGGGCTAAAACACCAATCAAAACATCTTTCATGAATTCTGTGTTGTACTGCTCTTCCTACGAAATGCAATCACCGTTGGGCAAAGTCAATATAGTATGCTGTGAGAAATCTGCGCAAGGGATTGGTAAGCTGACGAAAGCGATAGATGCTCTTCATCACGTCGCTCTCAAGGTGTAACCCACGCCGTCTGGTTACTCGTGATGGAACAGTTCCAGGATGACGCAGAAAACAGTTTTCAACGAAGTCGAATCTTCTGATTGTTCGCAGAGTATGTAGAGGACAATCAACCAATGATGTCGGGATTTGATGACACTTGACATGGATGAAGTGCCATCAGGTGAATACTGTAGGTCAGGAACATTGCCAGTCTGAAGGACTGTAACATAGTCCTTGATAATGCCTGGCTGTTCAGCCGTCAAATCCACCGTATCGCTATGTATTCGCTTGTAGTGAAGCGCTATTCTTGGGGATCGCTTGAACAGAATATCTTTGTGTACTTGTATGCGCGTAGTATCAAGAAGATGTGGTTCGCGAATAGTAAAGTGATCTTTCCGGCAGTTAAACTAGAGGGTCGATGTTAGATAGGGAAAATGATTCGGGAAGTGGAGTAATACTTCTCCACCATATCTCAAAATTCCAGAAACTCTTTTAGCACTCGTGCTATGGCGAGACGGGTCATTCTTTGCTTGTATCTGGCCAAGAAGTTTTGTAAACTATCAAGGAGGGCGGTCAAAACCAGGGTCCACCGTTGATTACCTAGATTCGTGACGTCCCAGTGGCACACGGAGCGTTCTCTTACCAGGATACGTCATTCGTATTCTTCATTTACAAACACCGGCCACCATGTTCTAAAGAGCTGAGTATACAGATTTATCGTTACACCGCACTCATCCCTATAAGGACTTGATGCTGAAGTATTTCCTTCACGCAAGCTGATCGTACCTTTTTACATGATGGTAGCAAATGAACAACTGGTGAAGCAAGGGATAAGTTGAACTATGCTGGGTACAAGACGAGGATGACCATGGGATAGACCAGCGGCAACGAGGACTTGGAATGAAGAGTAAACGTGGTTCCCAATTGATGCGTTTGATGCTGTGAGATTGAGAACCCTGTTTGCACGATGGTTCAAGGTGGAGCCCGCGTTATGAGAAGTATTGTTGGAGTTGATGACATGCCTTCATCATTCCCACCTTGACGTGAATATCTGAATGAGGCTCGCTCGGTCGTCGGGCTGGCCTACGAATGAGGTGTCATTATGCTCATACCTAGTACAGTTTCCCGTTTTGTTCTCTGCCACCTCCGCCTTCCCCAAGTTCAAGTCTGTAGCACCCAATAGATCATGCGTCACCAACTAAGACATGTGATCCAACCCGAAAGGCTTTCGTCTCATGCACCATCATTGATACTGATCGTGTCCACAACGAAAGCAATATTTCGGTCAGTGTTCCGCAGTTCGTGCATTCTTTCAGCCCGCATTGCTACGCCAACAAAGAGCGGAAAATGTATCGCGTGGTCGCGCCACATATGATAACTACTCCGATCACGTTATCTGGCTCAGGCAAACGACCTTTTTCCCTACTGGAGGCGCGATGATGGAACAAGCTTACCAGCAATAGTGTAGCACGCGGCAAAAGATGGACACTGCGCAATATCCATGCTGACGCAAATAAGATTCTGCAAGATATCTTAAGTATGTCACAACGGTCTATGTGGCGTGGACCCTTGGAGCGTCGGCATCACATGACTCCGCGACATCGTGACAAAAGAACCGATTTGTTCGCCCAAAATACCATTGTCTCACCTAAGGCAATGCCTACACACGGAGCTCTTCCCCGCCTTTGAATCGCGCCATTATTTCGAACAGTCATTGCCTGTACAACCAGCATGACCCACATTTTACGTGATAACAGCCGCGGAACCAATGGAATCGTCGAAATTCGCTCGCCGGTACTCTCAGTCCTGTACACCTGGCGTGCCTGTCAGAAAGAGAGGCGTGATGATTTGTATCGTTGGTGCCTGACAGGCATCCATCCTTACTGAGATAAGCGAACGGAAACGGTTATCTTTGCAGGAGATAGATTGGGTCTACTCAAGGTTACACTCCTTCTCTTTGACTAGATTCGGAAGTACTCGCAATCACTCACAGCCCATCCTTCACTGTGATCGACATCTTGATTCCTTCGCTGCTCTTCCAAACTTGTGCAGCCATGCCCTCTGATTCTTTCAAGGACTACTATGCTGATCTCGGGCTCGAACTTGGGGCTTCGGCTGGAGCCATTAGGAAGGCGTTCCAGGATCTTGCTAAGAAACACCATCCAGACAAATCAGGTATAGCAGACGCCACGGTCTTCCGCCGCGTCCGCGAAGCTTTTGAGAAGCTTTCAGATCCAGAGTATCGTGCTCAATACGATCGCTCCTACTGGCGCAGGAAGTTTCAGACCGACGACATTCCGACTGAGGAAGAGAACCGCAGTGCAGGCGAAGAAAACTTTGGTGACACACGTAATACAAGTCATGGCGCTGAGACTCAAGAAGCCCGTAGCGCAAGTCCACCGCCTGTCAAGCCGCAACGCAAGCCCAACGAGCCAAGTTGGCAGTACTTCTTGGGCAAGGCCTATACCACATGGCAGAAGGAGGAGGCCGCTTACCGTGTGAGACACCCTGAAGTGTACGAGAGGTATGTAGGCCTGTTTGCTTCGTACCTGATATATCTACTAAAGCCTTTCCTAGTCCGCTCAGCAGTGACCCACCTACTCCCAAGCCTGGAGGTATGGCACATGGCATGGTCGTTCTGATGTCTCACCCCTGCGTCCAACAGAGCTGCATCTACAAGAGCACAGCGTGGCGCCTTCAGACCGGCGGCGGAGACCATTGCGTATTCTGCATGGCCGTTCACACCGGGGGTAGGAGATGTCCTGGCTGTGAGGTGCTGGCATGTAAGGTTTGTCTCGAGAAGGTTCGCGCATTGAAACGGAGCCCTTTTGAAGGATTGAGATCGAAGGCGCAGTACTGCTCGTCCGGTGGTTGAAGTGGAAGGTGGGCTCGTATGCAAGATGGGTCGTGATGGCAATCTTTAAGGGAATGTCAGATAGGATTAGAGATAGCAAGATGTGCAGGGAATCAATGCACAAGACGTTATATATATATATATGATGCATGATCTCTGAGTATGCTTCCGACGCTTCAACTTCAGCATCAATATCGTTGTGACAGCGCAAATATGCAAAGCCGATTTTACTGATGGTGGTTGTGAGCAGTTATCGTCATAGCTGAGTTTCACGCGGCAGCTCCGCCGTCGGTTGTTCCTGCCTGCTGCCGCCCCTGACGGTGCATTGACCCCGCACATCCAAGACCTGGGCACGGGCTTGCATCATTGTCGCGCTCCAGCGTCCCACATTTTAGAAACGCCGTGGTGTGTCACTCCACTTATGGACGCGCAATCCGTCCAAGCCTATCGTCAGCCCGTACCGCGAGGATGACCCCATGTATGGTACCTAGTCTTGTGCCGCTCCGCAGGCCTTCATTGGGATCAGCTTGTCCGGGTGCACGAGGCGGACGATCTATTTGCAACCGCTGCAAGTTAGCATACCGTGTTCGTATCTCCTGGTCTGGGAATGTTGGCGGCGTTAGCACGGGACAACAGCATTCCAATCCATTCACCGGACCCTTCCGGAACTAGTGCCATTTACAACCTCTTCACACATTGAGACCTTGGACTTCTACATTCCTCCGTGTTTGCTGGACATACACTTTACAACAACCGACCAACGCCTTTCGCTCATTTTCAACAACATTAGTCCACATTCAACATGGACCTTTACCGAGCTACATTCGCTGGATCGCTGCTGCTCAATGCACTCGCATTCTACCAGTCGCACCGCTCACGCAAGGCGGCTGTCGTAGAGACAGCGACTACAGACAAGAAGGATGAACACGAGCATTTAGAGCCTGATTTGGAGGGCCTAAGCAAGTTGAAGAAGCGCTTCTTTCCTATTTATTTGCTGGTCAACGCTGCAGACTGGCTGCAAGGACCATATATCTATCCTATCTACAAAGGTGCACTCGACCGATCTTTATATTGGAAGTTGGAATGCTAACAAAAGTATAGATGAAAAGGGTCTTCCAGAAGAAACAGTCGCGTTCCTGTTTCTCATAGGCTTCATCTCCGCCGGAATCTCTGCGTCTTTCGTAGGCACTCTAGCAGACCGATACGGGCGTAAGACAGCATGCTTGGGATACTGCGCCCTCTACTCCCTATCATGCGCCACGCTCTTGTCCGACAACATCTACGTTCTCTTCTTCGGTCGCATCCTCGGTGGTGTGTGCGGAACTGTTCTTTGGAGCGTCTTCGAAAGTTGGATGGTGGCTGAGTTCAATCAGCTCATGCTTCCGGACGGCGAACCCCATCTGAGCGCGATATTCAGCACGATGACTACTTCAAACACATGTGTGGCTATCGGTGCGGGTATCTTCGCAGAGTGGGCGGTTAGAATGACAGGCACGGCAAAGACACCCTTCATGGCTTCTATTGGCTGCTTGAGTCTGTCTTTCCTTGCTATCTCAAAGTACTGGGGAGAGAATTATGGGACGAGCAGCCGCAGAGCTTCAGAGACTGAAGGGCTGCTCCAGCAAGAGGAAGCTACCCCAGCTCCGCCAGCCACGTCTGCTCTCCGAACGATTTTGCGCGATCGCAACATCATGATGCTTGCATTGGTATCGGGCTTCTTCGAGGGGTCTCTTTTTCTGTTCATCTTCTTCAAATTCCCAGCGTTGAAGCTCAGCCATAAACTGGCGGGCTCAACTGACGGTAAGCAATACTCCAACCAACTGAAGCCGGGTTCACAGAGCTAACATCTACCAGAACTTCCGTTTGGTCTCATTTTCGCCATCTTGATGTGTTCTATGATGTTTGGTTCCCTCCTTTACAAACACCTCTCCACATCCGCAACACCTGTGTCGGCGCAAAAGATGCTTACAGGCATCCTCGCAGTTTCATCCGCGTGCTTCTTTGTTCCTGGCCACTTCCGCGACGAGCGCCTCACATTGTGGTGCTTTTGCATTTTTGAGTTGTGCTGCGGAGTTTACTATCCTGCAATGGGCTCGCTGAAGAGCAAGCTCGTTGAGGATGGCTCAAGAGCCAGCATTTACGGCATTCTTCGAATTCCGTTGAATGTTTTTGTTGTGCTTGCTCTGAGCACTACGAAAGAAGGTAAGCACTAGTATTTTGTCTAGATCCGAGGACCAAGAACTAACTATCAGCCCAGGCGAAGCGCATCGCGATACGGTGTTTACCACCTGCAGTCTGCTTTTGGTGGCGGCTGCAATAGTCGTTCACAAGACACTATCGTGATCTCATTACTATCCACTTTCCTATTTAGTCTATTTGCATGGCGCTAAGGATAAACATAACCTCGGGGAAATATGTTGTATAATCATCATCAACAAGCCTCCCGTAAAGCGGAGCAACACCCAAGATAGACACATCGCGAAATAGCGATTTACACAAACAATACCCACATTTCCTTTCGTAGAAGACAGATCCTATGACATCATGCATTGCGACGCGATTTTGGAAGGCACGTCCTGAAACACGCGCCTTGTTCAGGAGAGCGTCGAGACAAAGACACGGCCGAAACAAGACTTGATGATCAACGGCCCACATGTGCCCCGCCGCTTCATCGTACGTTGTGCGGCTAATGAACTTCCCCGTCATCCACTAGTCGCTCCCTCGCTCTCAATGGTGCGAAGATAGCGGCATGCGGCTTGAGCGGGGTTTCGTATGATCGAGGCAGCACGGGTCCTTGGACGTTCTTGCTCCCTCAACGCTAAATCTGTAACGGGGCATTACCTGATGTTTGGTTGTGATAAGCGCTCGGCAGATGTACACGTAACACTGTTGGTCGTTCCGCTGTTGTCGTTTCGCACGTCCTTGGCACGTTCTAAAGGACCGACATCACACAGCCGGACTAGGGGCGGAGTCGTTTGAGGGTTTACATGTTGCGTTTGTCTTCCGATAACTTGAATTCATTCTTGTTTTCTCCTCCCTTCACCCTGCTTTCTCTTTTTTTGTACGCTTGACGCGATCGTTACCTCCACCGATTCAACTCGGAGGTTATACATCACAGTCTTTCCTCGACTCGACTCAACTCTCCCACTATCTACAACGTCACTCTTTCACCCGCCACGATGTTTCGGTCTTTCGGTGGTACGTTCGATCAAATCAGTTCTGATTGTAAACTTGCTTACAAGTGTCCCAGCCCGTATATTCGCAGGAGTATTCGTGGTCGTTTTCCTCATCGTCATTTTCCACAACGAAGAATCCGCTGGCACGGCTCTACTTCCTTATCTCCCTGTCCTCCCATCAACAGGCTCTTCACAATCCTCCTCGATACTCCAAGCATGGATAAAAGACCGATCTGCGCTGTCAGAAAAGTCATGGAAAAAGAGCGTTGAACTCCGCGATCAGATGGCGAAGCAGCATCCGGACAACCCGAAGATTCCATTCTTCCCAATGGACTTCTTAAAATACCCATTCACAATCTGGGACTTCTTCCCAGCGACATGGACATGCCCTCATGACATCCAACGTGTTGGCCGACTCGGTGACGGAGGAAAGTGGGTCTGCGGAATGAACATCTATGAGAGTCTTCCTGCCCCCAAGTCCGCGTCTGCGACCATCGGATCACAGGAGCCCCTATCGAACGCACAAGAAGGTCTCGTCATGTACAGCTTCGGTATCAACGGTGAATCCTCTTTCGAAGCCGAAATGCTCGAACGTATTCCTAGCGCCCGTATCTGGGGCTACGACTTCTCGGTCGATGCCTGGGGCCCGCAAATCGCAGAGAAGCATCGCCATCGAACATTCTTCAAGAAGGTCGGACTAGGCAAGGAGGATAAGCATGACTCGGAGCCGCCATTCTGGACTCTACCCAGTTTGATGAAGCAGAATAACCACACCTACATCGATATTCTGAAAATCGATATCGAAGGCAGTGAATACGACGCTTTAGACACAATGATGAACGCTTTCGACAACATGAAAACAGCATCTGGAAAGTCCGTCCTGCCTATTGGTCAGGTTATGATCGAACTCCACCTCGGCGACGGAATCAACACCGAAAATGCGAACGCCGGCGGTAATGTAGACTTTGGGCGGTTTAGAACTTGGTGGGAGAGGCTGGAACGCATGGGCATGCGACCCGTGTGGATGGAGATCAATCTCTTTGCCGTCACTTTGGGAAAGAGCAAGGCGAACCCAAGGTGTACGGAGTATGTTTGGGTCAATGCCAAGGACCAGAGAAGTGTCCTTTGGAATGTATAGATAGCATCTGGTCTGAAGATCAGCGGCGTTTGGGGCCTCGAAGTGGCATTTTTGAAAATTTCAGGTACAACCCAATCATATTTTTCCTATTTGTGACAACACCAGTCGTTGTTGAGGTACGTGAAGCTGGGATATCGTCACTTTCCCAAATCCCAGAGTACTGGAAGTTGGCATGTGCCGCATGATGTCAGATTGAGGCTTGACTGAATACGATCTAGCGTTCAATATTACGCCCCCTCTATCCATCTCAGGGAGCTGCACTTGACCAAGCATCCGTTCCGCAACCATTCAACAAGACTGAAGAAGACGCAAACCATCGATCAAACAACGATCCGCTCCTTGTGGGGCTTCCAAGGTCGGTAAGCCTTCTCTCAAACCTACTACCGACGCCTCACATCCTGCGCCTTGCTCGGGCAACTAGCGTTTCGGCCGCCGAACACCGTCCGCGTTACACAAACAGCCTCGCAATCTACATCAGTGTCCAGGCGTTTTGTCCAGATGCTTTGCTGCCGACCCTGTAGAGACTGCGATTATGCGGATCCGCTACAGGTGGTCCAGAGCCGGTTCTCATGTTAAGGAGATCGCAATCTTAAGGATGAGGTTTGTTGGCTGAAACTTACAGTAAGCTGCAATTAGATTTCCCCACGATCCGCTATCCCATCTTGGTCGCGTGCATCGATGCCAGGGTCCAATATCCGAAGAGCGAC